GTCTGCTACAGTCTTTCTCCCGGAAGGAATAGTCAGCGGGTGGGGGATGGGCAGCGAGCGGTTCAGCGCAGCACCTGCAAAGGTCCGGCTGGCCAGCGGGGTAGGGAGGCTATCCTCCTAGGAGAGCCTCCTTTCCCCCTAATTTCTTAACTCTTGGCCTGTTGAGTTCCTCAGACAGTCTGTCCACTGTCCAGCAAGGGGCCTGGCCATGGCTCCCTTTTCTTGAGCTCCGTACTTTCATCCAGTTTTGAGCAGCCCCGTTTCAGATTGGCCTTTTTATGTTTGATATAAAGAATAGTTGTTGGCCAATTTCATCTTTTCATCGCTGTTCTCTAGGCCGGAATCCAAGCGGCTTGTCAGATGCTCATTAACTCCCCCTTTGGCTCTTTCTCGTGTGTCTCCTAAGCTCATTGTGCCAAGAACTAACGCTTTCTTTTACACGATTCTCTTTCTCTGCTCCATCAGGGAGACAAATTACTTTCCAAAAGGGATCGCCAGGGACGGTTTAATGAGAATTTCTTTGGGGCTAGGCATGGAACGCAATGTAGTTAGCATTCGGTGGACTTAATTGGACTTTTCTTTTCTGCCTCTTTTAAAAAAAAATCTGAAGCTATCCTGTTAATCTCTCATTTGTAATCAATTGTGTTGACTAAACAAAAGTCTAGGTCGTCTTTTCTTCCTGTCCCAGACAATCCTTTGTTGCCTCTAAATGCCTCGTTCTCGAGTGATCCTGGTTCTGTAGATGGGCCCGATTGTTGACAGTTCATTATTGCGCTTTTGTCCACTTAATCTTTCTTGCTGTGTTTTGCATGTGCATGCCTTAATGAGCTCCGTTGGCAATTAACATGTTTCTGGGAGCAAACTGGTTGCTCAGACGTTTGAGAGGGAAGTGCAGGGAAAAGGGCAACGCAGCTGCCTTGAGGTTGTTTATTTCCCAGCATTTTCTCAAGACTCCTGTACCCTCTTTGGCAGCACCCTCCTTTCTGCCCTCCCCTCCCCCAGCCCGTTTACCACCAGCGCACCTGACGTCTTACCGCTCTGGGGTCTGGCTCAGGCAGCCCTCTACCTTCCTGTGAGCCAAACAGCAATTTGGGGCCCCGTGTAAACCCACTTCTGCAGCCAAGGCAAGAGCATGCAGAGTGCCCCCCAAAATGTATCTGGATGCTGGCACTTCTCTGTGTGGCTCTTTGTGGAGAGGAACCTCTAACCCGCCTAAGGCAATAGGACTGTACAATCTGTTATGCACAAGGCTGTGGCTTTGGAAGAAGGCTTTTTTTTTTTTTTTTGAGTCTTGCTGGCAAGATTGCTGAAGTGTGAGCAGTCATGGACAGAACAAACATCTTGTAGGGGAAAAGATAATTGGAGTCTTTTTTGTGTCTATGACAGGATTCCCTTCCCCCGCAATTTGATTTTTTTTAAAGAAAATATTTTTTCTGGGTGGCCTCTTCAATTTAATCAAGGTTAAAATATTAATATGAAGTGGATAGCTACCTTGTTTAAATCATTTATTAATATTGAAAACTCCAAGTCATGCAAACAATTTAATATTAAGGAGGAAAAAAAATGAGAGGAAACAGAGCCAGTCACCCACCAATTCCGATGCGTAAAGCTAAGAAGGAGGCAGGCTAAGATGGTCACAGAGGAAGCCTGGTGCTGGCTGTGGAAGGTGTTTAGTAACTCGGGCAGTAGGCTCTTCTCTTCTGAGGTGAAGAATCTTTTTTTGGATTCCACACCCAAACAAACCTCTTCCACCAGGGAACGACGTCCAACTCGAGGAAGGCAGAACTCAGGCTAGGTTCAGAACAACTGTTTACCTACAATTATGTCAGATGTGAAACACCACCTAGTCAGGTGAACACCGCTGACAGAAGCTGGAACAAGCAAGAGAGACAACCTCAAGGGGCTTGGGGTGTGAGGGGAAACCGGGCAGGTTCACCTGTCATCCAAGGACCAAGCAGGAGGAAAACGCCTTCACTACCTGACTTGTAGATTCATTCCTTCTGAGTTTGCTAGGGAGAAAAACCAATAGCACTTCAATGTGGCCAAAACCTGAGAACACATTTCTCCAGTTTGCAAGATGAGAGATCCTTTTTTGAAAAGTTATGCCAGCAGAAGACTTGTTCAAGGTTCTGTCACTTGACGGTTGAAAAGCTAGCCTTCTGGATGGCATGCTCCCTCTTCCGTTTACCAGTTTTTCTTAAGAGGAGAACACTTGACCAGATTCCCACCTGCAAGCCAACTCCCCTTCACCCATCACATCCCACCCAGCATCTACCTCTGCATAAATATCTTCCCAAGGTATTTAAGAAGATATGTTTGACATGATAGGCTCTCCAAGCAGCATGTCCGAAAAGGGGCCTCTCAGAGGAGAACAGGAGGGGGAGGGAGAGGAGGAGAGAGAGGAAAAGGAGGAAGGAGGGGGGAAGGAAGAAGAGGAGAGGAGGGGGGGAAGGAGGAGGGAGGGGAGGAGGAAGAGAGAAAGGAGGGGGATGAGGAGGAAAAAGAGGAGGAAGAGGAGGTGAGGGATGAGGAGGGAAAGGGGGAGGAGAAAAGACTTTTGATGGAAATGACGGTTACAGAGCCCTGAGATGCCCGAACTAAGTGGCATGTAAGAGTGTCAAGCAAAGTTAATAAAAACACTTTGAGAATTATTGGAGGAGCTGACTTCTCAAATTCAAGAGGTCTTCAGGAGCCGAAGTTCATATTCTCTGTGGCCAAGTCCTCCTCACCCCCTCGGGGGTTTCCTGGGATTTATAGAACGCATAGAGAGTTCAAAGTTAAATCTGCCTGCTCCTGTGGGTCCCGATCTCTACTCCAGGAACTGCAGCCAGAACAAGATAGCATTTAAATTCCCTCTGGCTTCCTCGTCCCCCTCCCCTGGCTGTGTCTTCCCAGACTTGCGGGAGGAGGAAGGGGAGGAATACAAAAAAACGAGGACGCTCTCCTTTCAGGAAATGGAATTCTAATGTACGCGTTCCTATTTCTGAATCGGAGGTACTAAAAATACCCCTGCGACAGCCTGAGGAAGCTGTCGCTGTCCTCTGTGCAAACAAAATCGACAATTCTCCTCAGCGCAATGGGTCTTCGGGTTGGGACAGAAGGGTTGGCTGTGACCACCATAGATCTTCCACCCCGGCCAGGAGCTTCTCCAGGCCACAATCCCGAGACTGCTTTCCATCAATGAAAACTGAAGGAAGCGATGGTCTCTTAGAAGCCCGGACTTTGGATCCCTGCCCTACCTCGCCTCAGAACCCTGGGCATGTCATTTAGATGGTCTCTGCCTCTATTTCTTTCTCTGTAGAGTGGGAATAATCACACCACACACCACACACACACACACACACACACACACACACACACACACACACACCAGTTTGCAGATTGTTGCTAAAGCTGCATGAAGGTGTTGAATGCCTAGCTGAGAAAGAAAGCCCTGGAAATAAGAGGATTTATTTCTCTCTCTCCCTCCTGGTGGAAGTCACTGGCATGCTCAGTAATGCGTGCCTACTGTATACAACGCGTTGGGCTAACCTTGACTCGTTACTGTCAGAGTTACCTGGGATTGCCTTTTGCAGTAACCATCCTTCCCTCCAAACAGCCGCCACCGCGGTGGAAATCCGGGTGGGGTCAGCACTCAGCAGTTCTCGCCCCCTCAACTCGGAGGCTGCATGGAAGAGCACTCCCGGCCCCGCGCCGCGTTTCCTCTGGTGTAGAACAACGTTCCAAAAGACGTGGGCTGAATCACCGCACCGATATTAAAAGTGTGGAGGGGAGTGAGGATGGAGGGAGGAGGCTAGGCGCGACGCGCCAGTAATCCGAGCTCTTGATTATCTAGATTCGGATCAAACGGGGCGGCGGCGGCCGGCCCCCTCCTGGGAATGATTAGATGATTAATGTAATGCTGTTTGAAGGGTCTCTGTTTTCTCTCTTAATTTGGGTCATTACTTAGAAAGCAAGCGTGAGATCATTTCATCAGTGTGCATGGCGGCAGAGATAGCTATTGAGGAAGTGGGCTAACTGCGTGGTAATCAGGACCGGGGTGGACACGGCGGCCAGCTCCGGGAGCTGGGCGCGCCCTCCCGCGGCAGGGGGCCGCGTGCGTAGCTTGGAACTAGCCGGGGACGGCGGAGTTCTAGCAAGGGACACCGCTAGCTCGCCCAAGACTGGACCGCCTCTAGCAACAGTCAGAGAGGAGGCTTGGATAGTGGTTGCGCTCCTCAAGCCCTGGCCTTTTTCCTGCTTTGCATGCTACTGAGTTCCGGGATACCCAACTACCATTCCCCGGCATCCAGACACATTTAACCCTTAAATATTCCTTTTCTCACCCAAATAAGAATCCCAAGTATCTGCTCGGGCACCAAATAAAACCTTGGGCTCTCGATGGAGCCGGATGGAAGTCTTTCGGCCCATGCTCCTGGGTGTTTTAATATAACAGCATACCAGGAGTACGGGTTTAGCCTTAGCTTGGCCCCGGTGTCTCAAGGAAGTCACATTTGGGAAAGGAAAAGCTGTAAATGGCTACTTCCACCTCCTTCTTTTGATTTGTTGATCTGACTTCGTGGCGAGGGGGTGGGGAAAAGAAAACGCGCACTAATCGTTCTGTTTATTGAGTCATATATGTGTAATAATCCGTGTTCGCTTGTACAGGAAAGATTACAAGGTTGTGTGAAGATGGCCGAGGGCATCACGCTCTTCTAGGCGCTCGCGGTGACAGGCCGGGATTAAAACCCGGCTGCCTGAGGAGAAGCCAAGGCCTGGAATTAAATAGGTTTCAGCGCACTGGATTTAAATACTTTTCCTGAATGTACAAAGGTGGGAACCACGCGTTTGTTGCTGATCATCGAGGACACGTTTAACTTTCCCCCCAAATATGCTGGTTTCGATAAATAGATTTTAGCCTCTCTGCTATAGTTTTTTTCCTTTTAATTTTAGAAATAAGTTTATACGTGTGATTTGCTTGGGTTGGTACAGGGCAGGAAGGAAAAGCAAGGCAGTAGCTCTCAGCTCTGAACTGTCCTGGTCAGGTCCTTTGCAGAGGGGGCAGTGGCGGGACCCACGCTGTCATGGAGTTTCCGCACGTGTTTCTTTAAGTCAAAGTTTCTGCAAAAGCCTTTGCCGCAAGTGGCGCACGTGAAAGGCTTCTTGTCGTTGTGGGTGTGCATGTGGAAGGTCAGGTTGTAGACCTGGTGGAAGGCCTTGTTGCAGATGGTGCATTTGTACTGCTTCTCGCCGCTGTGGGTGAGCTTGTGGTTCTTGTAGTTCCCTACAGGAGAGCGAAAACCAAAACAAAAAAGGAGAGGGTTGTCGTGGAAGGAGTCGTTCCCGCCTGGGTACAACTCCCACCCCTTGCTCCCTGCAGAGGCTCTGAAGGCGCTGCTTGACTAGGCGGGCGCGACCTCTCCGAACTAAGAAGTTGTCAAACTTTGTCTGCGTCAAGGCCGAGGAGCTCCTGAAAGGGTGGTGGGCTCTTACCCAGCCGCCCCGAGTCTCTACCCTGCTCAACCCAGAGGCCCACGAGGTGTCCCTCCTGCCGAGCTCTGCAGCCTGGGAAACTTTTGTGCAGCCTAAAGAGGCAGCAGCGGGTTCTTCCAGCTGATACCTCGCTCCAAGAAATCCGCACTAACCTAGGATCTGTAACGCAGTTCCTAGTCCCCTCCACCCCCAAATCCCACTTACTATCTGAAGACCTAAAAGTATCTTGGGAATTGGGTAGATTCCCGGTTCTGGGAGCACTGGTGACCTCACCCACCCCTTTTTAAGTTGTTCGCAGGAGGAAGATGCTGCTTAGATTTTATGTTTTTTTTTTTTTTTTGAAAGGGAAGTTCTTCTTACAAAGGGAACCTCATTGAAAAGCAATACTCTCTGCATTTTCTACTTGTTTCCTTTTGCCTCGTTCCTTAATTTCCAGCTTCAAAATTCAGCCCCTTTCCCCCATGAGTTAAGTCTTAATCCATTGAAGTCTCCTAACCGAGCCCGGAGAGCGTCTACCTATATCCGGCACAACCCGATTCCAAAGAATTGCGGCGCCCCAGCCTGGGGCTTTTGTGCTGCCTCTACCCACCCACTTCTCTCTCGGCCCCCCTTCCCATCCCCGCCCCTGCGACCCTCTCAGCCCTCGAGATGAGATGAAGGAGTGTCTAGCTAAGTACCTTACCTTTTTGGTGAAAGCCTTTGCCGCAAAATTCGCAGACGAAGGGTTTGTAGCCTGCGTGGATGCGGATGTGCGTGTTGAGCGTGGAGCTGCGATTGAAGGCTTTGCCGCATTGGTTACACTTATGTGGTTTTTCCTGCGGAGAGGGGCGTGCGTACAGTAAGGCCGAGACGTTGGCAATACCTCGAAGGGACACAGCAGCCCCCCCACCAAGGGTAAGGAGAATCCAGCATCCAGAGCTCAAACTAGGGCAGAGGGTGCACGCCGAGCCGGGCCTGACCTTGGGGCCACGTACCTGGGTGTGGATGATTTTGTGCCTGCAGAGAGTGCTAGCCTGGCGGAAGCCTTTGCCACAGACTTTACACACAAACGGTCTGGCTCCGGTGTGGACAGGCATGTGGCGGGTGAGGTTATAGTGAGCATTAAACACCTACAGAAGGACGAAAGCGGAACTTGTGTTGAGTCTACCAAGGGCCCAGGATTAGCTCTGGAGGCCACAATTTACCTCCCCCCAACCAACCTCCCCATCCGAAGCGCGAGTCCTTTTGTCAACTGTGTGACGACTGACAACAACCCCATTTTTCAGGATAGGAAACTGAGGCTCAACTAGGTATCCAATGGAGTACGCAGCTATTGGGGAACTCCTGAGCTTGAGAAAGGGATGTAGAAGGCCGCCCCAGAAAGCATGTGGCTGCTAGCTCCCTCCCGCAAGAACCTTAGGCCTCACCTTGCCGCATACTTCACAGGTGAAGTTTTTGGGTTTGCTGTCAGCTGAGCCCCCCGGTAGTTTGCTGTGGCTCTTGACTCCCCCTCGATCAGCGGTCAAGGCCGAGTTCTCCTTCAGCACCTGCTCCAGCGGCGCAGGCAAGCGTTCCTTATGGGGATAGGGAGCTGGATGGGGGAACTTGTCCGCAGTCAGGCTGGCCAGTTTGGCGTTCTCCAGCAGAAAAAGCTTGGGATGAGCAGCCAGTGAAGTGGGGGCCTGTGCGTTGAGGAGACCGGATGGGAAAAGGTGGCTGCCGAGGAGCTCCGAGGGTGGATAAGCAGTGGAGTCCAGGTAGTTGAAGTAGTAGAGCGAGCCACTGGCCGGTAACCCCACAGCCTGGTTGATGACCTGCGGCTTGATGACCCTGCCGGCCGGCAGCGCAGACGGCGCAAGGCCCAGTTCGGCCTTGCAGCACACGCCACAGTTGGTTTTGCACAAGCCGCTGGCGCCGCACACTGGGGCCCCCCCGCCGCTGCCTCCTCCTCCACCGCCGCCCGCCCGGAGGCTGCTTTTCCAGAACTCCGAGTAACTGAGCAGCGTCTTGGACGGCACCTCGTAGCCTAGAGGCTGGAGGGGTATCATACACGGCAGTGGCGAGCAGAGGTTGAGCAGTTTCTTGCTCTGGCTGCTGTCTGCCTCTAGTGCAGCAGGCCGGGGCTCAAAAGGCGCTCGGGGCTCGGACGTCTTAGCCATGATGCGCTCGATGGAGAAGGCTAGTGTTTTAGAAGTGGCTGGTGACGCTCCAGCGCGCGGGCAGGCCGGGGGCACCATGGTCTCCAGGGAAGCTGAGCTGGCCATGGCGCGCGAGGCTGAGCCAGGCTGGGCCAGGGCACAGCCTCTCTCCTCTAAGTCTGCATTCCGGAAAAGGCAGGGGGGAAACCGCAATTTAATAAGCACCTAGTCGGCCCGGGTCACCCATTTGCATTCAAATGAACAGAGGCAGAACAAAGTGCACCCAAGGGTACCAAATTGCCGCCCATTAACCCGGCGCGCAAAGGAGCCCACCAGTCCTTGCCCTGGGACTATGAAAGGGGGAAGAAGGGGGAGGCTGTACAAAGGAAAGAAGAGGGGGTAGAAGAAAGGAGTCTCAAAATAACACTCCCCAACCCTTCCCTGGACCCAGGCCTCTGCCACGCGTGCTGGGAGCTGGGCACTGAAAGGGCAAAGTTAAAGAGGACCGGGAGAGCCACCTCGCTTTTACCTCTTTCCCCCACCTCCAAGGAGATGCGTTCCGAGCCATGCAGCGTGTCTCTTCTGTCACATTTTGATGGCAAACATCTTCCCCTCCGCGTGAGATCACTGTCTTTTACATTCAGCTGACATCACATGAAGTCACTTGAAGTGGAATGACATGGGCGGCGGCGCGACTCCCGTTGAGGACCCTGCGTTCCCCCGCGCCTGCCGGCCGCCGCCACCGCCCCTCAAACTTTAAAGGAGGCAACTGGCGCCCGCGCTCCCTTCGGGAAAGTGCGAGCGGTTTGCGAATCGGGAAGGAGGGAAGAGAGGGAGGGGGAGGGGGAAGAATCGTGATGGTTTTGCCGGTGGAAGGAGGTGGGGGGAGCCCAAACCCAAACCTAGGCAGAGTTCCTTGCGTGATTCACAACTTTGGGGGGCCTACAGGTTTAGGGTACGCGGGGAAGGCGGGGTGTCCCGGACACACTACCTCAAAGGGCCCCTGAGTGTCCGTCTAATCACCGAAGTATCCCTTAGCCCTGCACAGCCGAGCTGGGCACCGTGCTAATAAACTGCCATTTACCTACGGAGCCGGCGCCAGCCCCGAACACGCGCAAATGATAATTACCTCATTAGGATGTGGCGCATGGACGCGGGCGTCGCGTTTGGAGGGGGGAACTTGTTAATGGGGAAATATTAATTTATGCAAAAACAACGAGCTCGCCTTGGCTGGCGTCGGAGGTCGAGAGGGAGCTCCCTGCAGCCTAAGGACGACCTCGAAGAGTCCGGAAGGGCAAGGCTGCGCGCCGGGATCCCGGGGACCTGGGGAAGGGTGGGTGCGCCTGAAGCCTTCTGGCCCGTTGCTTGCCTAGGGCTGGGGGAGTCTTGCCTCGAGACCCCTAGGGCTGTTTGCGAAGCTAATCGATCCGAATTGCTGATTTGTGATCGGGTTTGCTAGGCAAAGTCGGGCTCTGAGCCTGGTTTAGGGCTGCGTGCGGGGAGGATTCGGAGGGCAGCTCTCCCGCTGTTGGTACTTACTGTTTGTATAATTGAGAAGGTCCAATCTCCACCTGTTTAAGGAGCAGATTGAAACAGCAGAACCTCCCCTGGATCCTATTAAAACGTTTTTCCTCCTAAGGCCATTCAGTCGAACCAATTTTCCGAAGTGATTCATAGAGCTGAATTCTGCCAAGGCAGCTCTTTCACTTTTAGCCACTAAAGCACCGCGTGGAACCGGGTTTTGTGTTTTTCTAAAATAAAGAGAAGGATTATCAGAGGAGAGAGGGAGGGGGCCTGAAGCGGGGCGGGCAAAGACTTAGTGTGGCCAGAGGTACAAGCAGAGGGAAGAAAAGGCCCTTTTCTAGACAGGCCCCAAGTAAGTTCGTAGGAATTCAGCGTTTTTGTGGCTGGCGCACAAAAGCGGAGCGCTCCGCGCTGGGTTTGGAGGGGCTGAATTCATGTTTGCAGACCATTCCACCTGCGTATCACAACAAACTGCTCAGAGACGCTTCAGCACTTTCAACAGGCCGGGTGCTCTTGGCGACAACAAAAGTGGTCCAGGCTGAGGGTTCTTATTGGGGGGGGGGGGGGGGTGGGTGAGG